GCCACTTAGTGTCACAAGACTGTCATGCCGTAACAAAAACTCTCTCTTATTTCTCATTCTCGGGATATCTACAGTTCATATTCATTCTTCCATAATCTTCGAGTGAATCTCTTTCGCATATTTATCATTTTTATACATATATATATTTTTCCTTTGCATAAAAATTTATATTCACAGCCACTTTCAACATAAAAAAAAACAGTTCAATCTCCACAAAAATAAAATCAATTTTCGAGTAGATTTTCGTCTAAAATACTTCAATTTTTATTAAATGATTAAATTTTAAGTCTAGAAATTGCTTTCAAAATATTAATTTAAGTAAATTTGCTTTCGAATTTTTTATTCGAGCTCCGAAAATTAATCTTCAATGGCTTCTTTTTAACCTTTAAAAAGTAAGAAATTCAGGAAAAATAGCGTCAAAAAATCTCAATTTATGAAATATTTAACGTTCAAAATCTAATTTAAAACATTTTAAAACTGTATCCGTCGATCTTATAACCTTTATAGCTACATAAAAATTAATTTTCCATGAAAAATTTCTTCTTAGAAAAATCTCGTGATGCATCCTTTAAAAATTCTTTCTAAGCTATAACTTATAGATTACTCGGTGTAACACGGTAAGCTTATATTACTTAAAGCGACGACGTTAAAAGTGTTTACATAAACGATTCCTAACCTTTTCTAACAATAGCAACTGTTGGAAGATTATACAAACAATGTTTCGACATGGCAATGATTCTGCACAACTTCACTAACAGTTAAAAGTTTAGTTAGGAAGGAACGTAAAAAAGAGGGTCTAAAATAAACATAAGAGGGCATTAGCTGCGCTCGTAGATTACGCAGACATGTAAACGACTCTGCTAAATACAGGTAAAAGTTTTACAGGCGATAAACAAGCTGTAAATACAATTTATTGCATTTAAATGTATGTCCTGGTTGATGTTTTCTCGTAACGTATCAATCCTTTTACAGTCAATTTTAGGGATTTTTTGTGTCTCTCCTTTAAGAGGATGCGAAAAATTGCGTGGAAATTGTTTACTTTTCGTAAATTTTATACAGATTTTTTCGTTTTTTCAGGCGTATTTCTTACACGCCGACTTAGAAATGAGGAATTTAAAGGAAAAAAAGACAGTTAATGACTTTAAAATGATGCTATCTTTCCAAGATTCTTAACTCTGTCAATAATGATGTAACGTTAGATGAACGGTTTCTTCTTCTTCTTCTTCTTTAAAAAAAAAGGAAAGGATAAACATAATTTTTAAAAAGTTCAGTTTAAATTTATTTATTTTTTCCCTTCCTTTATGAATTGTAAATATATTTTCGAGTACGTTGTTGGAGGATTATCTGCAATTTTTTTAATCCTCTTCCTGTAAATCGAAGAGAATTTTTCGTTACCAATCATTAGCTGTCACGTAACCTATAATATTTGCTGCTGTAGGTATTTGTACGGATGAAATCTGTACATCTGCTTCGTAATCGACGAGATTACTGTTTCGGATTACACGGGTTATATTACAGTGTCATTTGATCCAACAAGCTGCTAACAGGAAGCATGAGTCAATCCAGCTGTGTCCATCTGTTCTGCTTCAAGTATGTCTCCTCTTGATGACAATTATTAAGCACCTTTTAATTCGATCAAGTGTAAAAATCGTCTTTAGTCAAATAACTCGTTTCTTCTCGGTTTAATATTATTACTTAAGAGGTTTTTCTATTCGTAAATTACGTAAAATCTTATCTTTTGAAGGTGAAGAGATGAGAAGATTAAACTTTGGCGTTGGCTATTTTTAGAAAATTTTTTTCTTTTTTATCGCTATATTCTCGACATTTTTGCCGAGATAAATTGGAAATTGTTTTCCTTCAACAGGCCCTAAGAGAAAATTATCCAACAACCCTTCTATCAAGGGTATTGAAGCAGGTGGTCGGTAGAGCACATAATGTATTGACAATCAGTGCAAAAGGATTTAGAAGTCTTCCTTTACTTCAATCGGAATAAACGTAGTGTTTCGCGTATTTTCTCTGAAAATTTCAGTTTAGAAAGACGACTATTGCTTTTTTCTCACATTTTTTCTTATTGCATTACTTTAGTGAAAACAAGAACTTATCAGAAATGGGTCCAACTGATGGTCCATAGATTGTTCTTTTTACCAATAGGAGAGTAGAATAGTAAAGTGTGAAAGAACACGAGGCATGATGGATCTCTCCACAGAGACTTAGATCTGCCACAGGGGCCAAATTCACTACCAATCAATCGTACAGGCTGTCTGAAAGATATTGCATTCGCTCTGTGTACACACTTAGCACATGGCGTTTTTCTTGCTTGCTGAAAAATACAAGTAAGATCTCCAGGGGCTTAAAAGATAGAAGGCACGGACCATTCAGGAAATGCTTCATTTCCACATTTTCTCCCGCTCGTTTTGTTCTATTTTTTTTTAAAAAAAGAAGTGCAAAAATAAAGTTATTGTTTATTCGTTTACTCTATAAAACAAAGCTTTCCTTTAAATATATTATTGGATAAATTTAACAGGAGATCATTTAAATCATTGCAGATAAAATGAAAAAGGGGGAATATAAAAGAAAGAAGAATGCTTTCATCTAGATTGCGGGAATTTAGAATTAAACTAAAAAAAAAAAATTTCGAAAATATTATTTTTGTATTATTTCTGATGCATTGACAAAGATTAAAAGTATTTTTTTAAATAAACGTTTTTCCTAAATCTCTCTTACAATACTGCTTATCTAGAGTAGATTTTTGCTTTATGTTATCGATTTAGGAACGTCGATAAGAACTTTGTGATTCGATATAAAAATATTAAAAAAATACAGAATTTTTCTCTCTTTTTTAACCAATAAGAATAATCTTTCAGTAGTTTTATGACGTTCGATAGTTTTTTTTTTAAATTCTTAATAAAAAGAAAGATGATAAATCATTTTATAATTCGTCACTTTTTACTTTAACAATCGTAAAAATTGATTTAATTATTTAAAGAGAAAATAAAAATTAAAAAAAGGAAGCGATTTTTTTAAATTATAAGTTGTTTTATTTTAATGAAATTTTATATCAAGCAATTTCTCTTCGCATTAAACTAATTGGAATAAGTAAGAAAAAAAGCGAGTTGTTGGCTTCACTGCAATAATTCGGAGTCGTGCAGTGAAGCGCCCATTCCGGTCGCCCGAACTTTACCTGTTCGAATTATATAGGGGAAAAAATAAAATAAAATAAAATCGCATATTTCCTGGAATAGATTTATATGATCAGTGATACATTTTGAAGCAAGACGAAATTGCAAGTATGAACATGATAGTGAAATGTGCAGAGATATCTCGAAAATCCATTTACAAGCATACTAGAAATGTTGTGATTCCAACATTAGAATTCAGAGAAGCTATAAGATACAAAGCTTAGGGAATAGTGCCGCATCCCTAGCGAGAACTGGCTCATGGCAATTTTTCTCCGTATTCTACACCCAAAGGTACTTAATGGGACTTTCCTATCTCAACCCACTGGCCCTTGGGGAACTTCTTACCTGCTAGCATTTCAGAAAAGCTGAGCTTAATGGAATAACACAGGATATGAGTCCAGTCATTTAGAAATACTTATTATACTTATACTCCTAAAAATTGCGAGAAAATATATATATATAAATGTAGAAAAATTCTACAACTCTAGCATTTTTTAGCATTGAAAAATCGAGTTATAGTTGAGAAAAAACTCTACGATTCGCTCTAATGCACTGTTTTAATTCAGTAGCTCAGACGTTAGAAATATATAAATTTTTTTTCTTTCCTTTTCTTTCCTTCAGGATTATTGATATAAGGATAAAGACCATATGGCTTCACCCCTATTTGAAGAGAATTGAGCCTTCCCATTACGTCATGGATTTGAAGAGAAATTAATGAAACAACCTCCGCACACCGAATTTAATTGATAAATCAATGCACTTATGTGGGAGATATATTTGTTTTATGTGTAGCTTGTCCGACTTTTTTTCTTTTTTTTTTTAAAGAAAAAGGAAGAGAAAAAATCACAGTTTGATAGAAATAAAATTGTAAATTGTATCATTGATTGGTCTTTTAGACTTTTACGTGGTTGGATTGATGTATTTTACAACTCTTAGCATTTGGCATGAAACGTTTATTGTCCTTTTAGTTGATTTACACTCGATCTGGTTGCTCATAAAATAAACCTTTTTGAATGAGATGATAGCTCTAATCGGGCATATTTTTTCGCATCTGTAACAATTCCTTTGCTTATAGCACTCATTTATAACATAAATAAGCTGTGGAGTATTCAAATTTTATCAATTTTTCTCCTCTAGAGGAGCCTTTAGTCTTTTTTTTTTCTTCTTCTTCTTCTCTTCCTCCCTTTCCTCAGACCTATCTTGTCTACATGTCGCTAGAATATTCAGTATTGATTATTCTTAAGGGTTGGGGAGTCTTTATAAAATATTTTGCAGTATTTTCTTAAAAGTATGAGGTGTTTTTAGCGTGTAAGGGTGTATTTAACTTCGCGAGGTATATATTTTATTAATGTAACTTATGGGAACTGGATTAATTGCGTGAGGTGTAAGCTTTTCTGATCTTTCATCAACACCATTAAATACTAATTTTAGAACGGTGTGATTGGCAATAACCCAATCAATAAGGTTATCAGGAAAACCATCAAACCACTCTTGACTCATCCATCTGTCAACTGTAACGCTCACAAAAAAACCGATCCTTGGAGACAGGTGGTCAAACCCTCATTAATAGTTGAAAAAAAGGAGCTTAGAATCAAATGAAAAGTGAACAGAACAAAAAAGAAATCAAATCAAGACAATGTCTGTTAAAACCCAACTTTCTCTCCATGGTTCTCACAGACAAATCACAGAACATGGAAGTGCAGGTGCGCTCGTGCTGTTGTCACGGCAACGACTGATACAGCTCCTCCAACTACTTCCTGTCACCCCTGCTTCGGTGCTGTACGCCCGGCCCAGCTGTGCACTCTCTATCGGCGACGAGCGAGAGGTACAGTCAGTGTTATTCTGTACAAATGTTCCACATCGATTTTTAGCAAGCCCAGTCCTCTATTAGAATTGGTTGAGGCAGTCTGCGCCATGTTCTTGCATAGAACGTCCAGAGATGGTATGCTGAGACAGGTAAGTATCTTTACTTATTCTTAACGTTATCCTTTAACCGATCCACTTCTTACTTTCGTTCGACACGATCCGGTTTTTTACCGAACTCTGCTTGGCTAGACACGTGGATCCGTTCGTTTGTCACACAGAATTTTTGTATTTTTCCTTCGCTAAACCGTGGCTCCTACTGCTTAAGGGCGTAATTACCGACCGTGTCGAGAATCCAATTTTGAATTTTAACTACGAGATTTCTGCATTTACGATCATCCCATTGCCTTAGTGTCGTCTTTAACTCCCTGTCTTTGCAACTTATAGCGGAATAATAGTCCAAGATATGAGAACATCTGGTGACAGAGTAGGCCTATGTGTGATACATGACTAGTATATAGACGACCTGTGTCACATTGACAGCTGACACAGGTCCTGGCATCCAGCCAAAGTCACTCCTAACTACCCTGTCAATACAGCATTCAAGCTTATCAGAAGTTAATAATAAGGAAACATTTCTTCCTATACCAAAGGCTAAACTCGGTACTCTTATCTAAATCCCAAACTAGGCGGGTTAATTCCTTCCAAGTAGAATGAGATGATGCTGCAACACGACTAACAGATTTTCAAATCTAAACATTCCTAAAATGATTTTAGACTCGGTAAAATTTTCCTAGTAGCGGCAATAAATGTTCATTTCATTTATTATAGAAAAAATATTACATAAATTAAGTTTTTTTGTGTAAAGACAACCAACTTTATGACTTCTAACAGCTGCTTTGTTCGAGCTAACATTGTAGACATCTGGTAGAGCGTACGTGATCCGAATGGAAAGTTATTATATTTTATGTATTCTTCTATATCCTCCGTTATAAATGGATATACTTCAGTATTCATGCACTATAATATCTTATCTTTATATCTGATAACTCAATTTATTTCTGTTTTTTATCTTTCATCTTTTACTGTTGGAAGAAAGGCTCATTAATATCTTAAACTCCCTAACATTTGTCCAAGGTAACTTTCAACAGTTTTCATGCTATCAATACTTCTCGGTTCTCTCATTAGTATTGGACTTTTAAGAATAAAGTTCGTTATGCTAATTGATCTCGTCTGTTTCACTTTATTCTCGCCACTACTCGCTTATTGTTCGTGTATAGCACCATATTGCCCAAGCTTGGAAATTGCAGGAATTACACAATAATATTCTAGAATAGATTGAAGATGCCTGTTTCGTTTTATTCCAGAATAATTCGCGTAAGTTACTGTAGAAGCATCGTATTAAAGATTGGAAATTTAGAAATTTATTCAATAATCCTTTGTTCTAGAATAAATTGAAGATGAAGACTTCTGTTTCATTTTATTCTAGAGTTAGTCGTCTTTGTTGCAATAAAAGTATCATATTACAGTTCGGAAATTTAACAGGATTACGCAAAAATATCTTGAGATACATTCAAGAATAAATTGAAGATGTCTGTTTCGTTTTATTCTAGGGTTATTCGTCATTGTTATTGTAAAAGCATTAAATTCAAACTCGAAAATTTACAGCATTACGCGACAATATCTCTTAGTGTTGTAGATTCTGGAACAAATCGAAGATGTCTGTTTCATTCTGTTCTAGAATTATCCTGGTTTGTCGCTATAAAAACGTTACGACACGGTCGGAAATTTACAGATTTATGCAACAATGAAATAAACTGTAGTTATCTATTTCACTCTATTCTAGAATTATCTACATGTTTGTTACTTTAAAAGCATCATATTGTTAAATCTCGGAAATCTACAAAATTATAGCTATAAACAGAGCAAATATAATCCGGAACAACGTACAAGTTAGTAATATTAATAAGATTTTATTATAAATGATAGCATGATCAATGTTGACAATGACATTTATTACGCTAGTAGCATTAACGTTAAACAACGGATTTACTAGAAATCTATTTAAAGACATGAAAAACAATAATAAGTTTCCAAAATATTAAGTTTTATTGTTTAAATATTAATATAAACATATTTTATTTAGTAATTAAGTAAACACATTAGACTGAATGAAGATACTAATATCAAATCGATATAATCGATTGAGTTATTAACTGTAACTGAATCGATATTAATGGGCAATGAAAAATTGATTGAAGAATTTTATTTCTTTATTTTTTTACATAATTTATTCTTTAATTTTCCTTTAATTTTTCTATACGCTAACTACATTCATAACCGAGACTTACAGCTTCAGACATAGTTTTAATTAAGCGTAGGGCCTACTGAACTGTTAAATAAACTTCAACTTATATTTATAATTAATTCTAAGTTAATTTTTATTTAATTATTCAGTAAAACATATTTAACTTTTCAAGTATTTAAGCCATTAAATAAAATATACTTTCTGCTTACTGAATTAATAAGTAAGTAGAATTAAAATCTAGTAATATATATATATATATATATTTTAAAATCCAATTTCTAAGAGTAAAATATGATGTAAATCAACAGTAGAANAAGTCTAGATAATTTATATACATAAGAAGAAATGGAAGGGTGGAAAAATATATAATATTTTTTCCACCTCCTCTCACTGCTTATACGTAGAGAGAGGGGTGGAAAAATTAGTTTAAATTGCCTTCTTTTTTTGGAAGAAATTAATTAAATTTCTATTTTTTTTAATATTTATTTTCTTTATTTAAATTTTAAAATATAAAATGATTTTTAAAGAATCGAATGTCATTTTTTCGGAAATGTTTTGGAATATTTCATCCTATTTTTCTTCTTTTTTCATGGGTATTTTCAAGAGGAAAGTACATTTAGAACTGAAAGGTTTTTAGGGCTTTGCTTCTTTTGATGTCTTCCATTGTTTTTAGGTTATATTCTTGGGTAGAAGATCTGTAAATTTTGTCATTTGTTTTCTTCACATGAGTTTTCACTCTGAATAAGAATCAAAATTTTTCAGAAATGATGCGGGACACTGAACTAAAACAAGTAAAACAATAAAAAAAAATGAAATAAAATAAAGGAAATTTTCATTTGTTTAAAAGAGAATACACATACAATCCATAGGGGACAATTTAATTAAAATTAATAAAGAACAACCTTTCCTTAATTTACTTTCCAACTAACTCCAATTAAAATTTTTGAATTATCCTAAGTTAAATGAATATAAAAGACAGGAAAAACTGGTTGTAGTAAGATTAATTTCATAATTAAAATTCTCCAGTTTAAAATTTCCTTAAAACTTGTTTAAATTTTTAATAAATTAAACGTATATAAGAAGAGGAATATAATTTTTTTTTATTAATTAAACGAGTGAATTGTTTTCGTTTGTTCTTATACTTTTCTTTTTTTTTTAAGTAGTTGAGACTCATCGATTCGTATTTATTTTAAAAATAAACTCGAGGCAACATCGATCATGGAGTATAACATATATAAATCAGCTTCGTAATTATCCAACATGTTTTTAATAGTAAAGAATGAATGATTGATTTATTATATCCAACCGTTTATTAGCGTGACTGTCTTTAATAAATACGTAAGCACGAACTATTATAAATTTGCAATTTTTTTTTTTAAAGAAAATTTGGCAAAAAATTTTTATAATTCCCACTCCTTAAATTAAAAATAAATTAATTCTTATACACTCGATTTAAATTCAACTCTTTATATTGTAGTCTAAATTCGTTTTCTCACATCAAACGTGGGAGGTCCTGACGTTGGCTGCTAATTTGGTGGTGCACAGCTGTATAAATAACACATCCAATTCTTCAGTGTAAGAGATTAACTCCAGCTTTCAAAGACTTCCCTTATTTCTTAATCCCAGTTCTGACTATTGTAACCGTGTTTAGCTTATAGGGGGTGAAGAACCGTTTGTGTAAAATGAAGACCTAAATCTCGAAGAAATAATAATAATAATAATGCAAGTATTTTTGCTACTAGTTCGGCTTAAATTTATTTTATTTTTATATATATATTTTTTTCCCTAAATCGTTACTACACTTTGATTTATATCGAGTTGATTTTCGATGTTACAACAGTTAGACAACCGTTTGTTGTTTAAGTTTAGTTGAAGTTAAACTGTAGAATGGAGTTGACTGCAATCGGTGATGGATTGCTATTTTTTTTTTCTTTCTTTCTTCTTCTTCTTCTTCTTTTTCCTCTTCTCCAAGTACAGGCTCTGCTGTTGATCTCAAAGCTGCTCGGTTCACTTGACTACGAAGTGAATTTATTCTTTCGAGTCTAACTTAATTCTTTACCTATTTCTCACCGACTTGAAGCTTCATTTAACATTCTTTAAGCGCCCTTTTCGTTTCTAAGAAAGCATCCCTCAAGATCATTCATCGTTTCGTTCTTCTAAGAGGTAATGCTCATTTTTTTCGAGTGTAGGAAACGACGTTCGAATTCGTTTGATATCCATCACGGCATTCCACAGTCAGCAGCATCCATTCAGACAATCTTTCCACCAGACCAGAGAGACATTACCCACGCTTACAAAAGCAAACTTTGACTAGTTTTCGACCACCGCCATCACTTTCTATGCCACATTTGTCCAAATGTCTACAGTCACGTACGAGCGGCCATTGTCTGAAGCATCCATGGAAGGTTTCGACATGATAAAGTTGTCGGCTGTAGGAGTCAATAGCGCGAATTGACTTAATGCGCAATGAGACGTAGCATCTGATGAGATCTCCATCCTAAAGAAAGTCTAGGACAAGGGGTTACATCCAGTGCTTTACGCATCATTAAAGGTCACTTTGACCATCGCGTTCGAATTGTGGTAGAAAGAAATCAATGGCCGTGCGCCCAGTCGAGTTGCCACTCACTTTAATTTCCTGAAACTTCTTTTCTATAATAACAAAAGTAAGGATATAAAGTTATAAAGCTGCATTCTTCTGGAACGATTCTAACAAGTTTTCTAAAACTAAAGATAATTAATTAATTCTTCTGTAAAAATTTCCATTAGCTTAATCTTGATAAATGAACTTCTTTCAATTATTATTCTTCATTCTTTTTCTATAATGACACCTCACCGTTTCTCATTT